TATTGTTAATTTTTGCCTATTTATCGGATATATTACCAATTTTTAGTAAAATTAAAAAAACAAAACAAAAATATCTGATGAATCGGTAAAATTATGTTATCAATTCATCAGAGATATTATTGTTTACATTGATAATTAGGTTTCATTGTTAACACTGAACAAGTTATCTGATTATCCTGTTGGAATTACATTGTCTCTATATTGACCAGTTTAGAGGGTTGTCAACATAAAGAACAGTGTTGTTTAAGTGACCGAAAATACATGTATTTATCAGATTATCATTGAGAGACATAGATTATATTGAACAATTTATCAGGTTATCATAAAAAAAAAAGAAAAGAAAAAAATAGAGAAAAAGTTCACATTTTGTAAACCAGAAGATTTTCACGTGAGTACCTCACCACCATGAAGAAACAGACTAGAAATGTCACTGATGAACCTATTGCATGGTGTCGGAGAAAATCTGGAAGTAGGGGAGGGTTTACTTACTATATATTTTATAAAGAAAGTGAATGGAATTATGTGCTGAGAAAAATGATAAATTAGAAAGTTTATGTTATGTATTGTTACTTTGCATCGGACATGTTGTCTACATTAAAAAAAACCATTTAATCAAAATGATGTCAGTAGCATTTGGTCCATTGCATATTATTACACTGAAATTGGATTACTAAATAACTCGTTTGAAAAAATAGTATTGGATATTTTATAATGTAGGCCTCACATAAAGTTCATAATAGTTATTTGATATTTGAAAGTATAATAATAATTGAAAGAAAAAGTTGATTGATTGTATGTTGTTTTACGTTCCATTCGAGAATTTTTCACTTATATAGAGACGTCAGCATATACCGGTGAAGGGCTTCAAATTTAGACCTTTACTCGGCACTCATGGCCATTGAGCAGTGAGGGTTCTTTTTCGTGCCAACGCCCACCGTGACACGGGATCTCGTTTATTTAAGGACCCGCAACTTTCACTTCGAAGTGCCGAGCGCTTGGAGAAGGAATAGTTGCTACCTATTATTTATCGACGTTGGTCAGTCGCGGCCGTGATTCGAACATACGACCTTCCGATCACGGAGCGAGAGCTCTACCGACTGAGATACCGTGACGGTAAAAGAAAAAGTTGAAGATAACGAGCAGTGATCACTCTTATAAATCCTCGTACATTTTAAATCCAATTGAATCGTGATCAAAAGCAAAAACTCGAACCCCTGGAAACACCAGAGGTGGGACCAAGTGTCTAGGAAGAGAGAGCATCCCCTGCCGACAGGTCACACCCTCTGTATTGATTCGGTAATTGGCGAATGTATAGTCAAAATTAGTTTAAAACAATGGCCTAACAGTTGGTCAATCAAAATACTATCTAACTGAACAGTAAGTCGCATTTGCAAACAAGGTCAATATGACGTCCAAAACAATTTGTGAATTGCTGACTTTAAACGAGATAGAAGAAAGTATTGTAACATCGACTTATTTGTCAATAGCCTGCCTCGGTATAAATTCTTGTAAAAATAGCAGAAACGAGAAACACACAAATCCTAAAATTCAACTTGAATTACACTTGAAAAGAACAATGAAATTCACCACACAAAAAATCTACTGAATTTAACGTGAAAAAACGTGAATTGCAGGATTGCATACAATTTATATGAGGCATATATATAGCTATGGTGAAAGTTAATGATCACAAGCATCATATGCACTCATATTAATACTCCCTGATGTGTCTTCACTCTCGAAAAGGAGGCTAAAGACACTTTTTTCATCTTCAATTGCCAATATGATTATGTATGAATTATACATTTTTAGGTTATTAAATATTGATAATGACTCAATGAAAATACTATAAAGAAATTGACTTTCAAGAGGAGATAGTTATAGTTCTCAACGCACTATCTAAAGCAGACAAAATGAAAAGCCATTCAACTCCTTACATCATTAACGATGTATTCACCGCTCGGAGTAACTCTAAAAACAAGAATAATAATGTTCATATGTAATATGGAACTTCTGTGTGAATTCGTTATTTTCATAAAATAAACATGATGCATAAAACCAGAAAAAAGTTATAAATTGTAAAATCCATTTTATTGAAACTTTTATATAAGTTGTTTGTTCACAGAACAACTACATTGTATAGAGTATATTGAAATTTATCTTATTTTTCTCATCAAGTTGAAATTATTATTGTAATTTATTTTATATATTTTCAATGAAAAAAAATTGTTGAAATGCAGTTTTCAAACTGGCAGTTGCTATGCTGGTAATTGATAAACATAACATCAGAATGTCGCTTTATAGGAACCTTTTGATCTTCTTCTGTCGCAGAACTTGGTCATCCTCAGCAGTTGGTCAAGACATTAATCAGAGTGTTCAAATATTGGACGTGACATATAATAACGAATGATCAACAGGTCCTCGTCGTTTATTACTTTTACTCTATCAACACATTGACTCGGAATCAATGCCACGGATTGATGGCTTTTCCGGAGGGAGTTTGTACAATATTTTCCCTGTAACTTTAGTCCGTCCATGACGAATGTAGCTGGAGGGCTGAGACTTCAAAGAATGGAGGCGTAGTTAATGGCGCGTAAAACATTGAAAAACCAATAGTGATTCAATGGCATTACAGAATCGAATGTATGTGATCTTCACATTTCTTATTCAGAAGAAATCTTAGACTGGTTTGTTTTCATTATAATTCAAATAATTCACTAACACCATTACATATTATTCGTCTATTAATTTTCCATCTGAAATTGGAAATGATATGGAAATTGTCATGAATCCTTTCCAGATTGAAAATATTAATAAATACCAAAATGAATGCACTACTTGTGAATACCTGTAAACTACTTATTTAAGAGATTAATTTATTTTTTGAGAATTCATGGGGACATGAACTACGACGCTTCACGCCCGCATATTTCATGAAGCGCTTTATGCAAGCGTGAAGCGTTGTAGTCCATGTACCTCTTGAATTCTCAAAAAATTAAATTCATATCTTATATTTACATTATTTTTCTGATGACTTGCCACATATATTTGTCATTCAACAATCATTTTTGAAAAAAAAAATATTGCACTATTTTTTTTACTTCAATCACATCACAATGGAAATATTCTTACTCATCCCACGGTAGTTTATGAGAAAACGAACTTTTTCTAATTTGCAAAGAATCTTTATTTAAGGAAAAATATTTGGAAATGTAATTATTGTGTAGATAATCAAAAAGGTAATTTTTACAAACTCAAACTGCAGAACATAAACTGCTAAATAATGGTACATCTTCAAGAATTACTTGCTCCAAGGAAATTCGATGTGCAGTTTTTGGAATAGTTGTTTATTTTTTTACCCGCACTCTCTAAAGAAAGAGCACTGTATCCTGGTCCATCCGTCTGTAACTATCTTCTTCCTCAAACCCGTCTTACATTCATCTTTTGAAATATACGAAAGCCCATTAAGGATACACCAAAGGCTTTTTTCAAGATTTTCAACAATTTTGAGATTTTTGGCTAAGAAAAAGAAGTTAATGCTTTATAATGCATGTAAAATTCTTGATAATAATGAAATGGTTTTCTAATTATTTAACAATAATGAAACATAAACACTACCACATGTGAATGTTCCGTTATTGAAGCTTCTGATTTGATCTGTGACTGCCTGCTCATGAAAGACGCAATAAATCACTGTGACCACTTGGGGAATTCTTCACTAGCCGCACAGAGGTTATCAGTAATTAAACTACAGGGACTCTAGACTTAGAGAAGGGGAACAGATCACTGAAGACCATAAAATAGGAGGTGGAGCTTAGCTCTTGCTATTTTGCCGGGAAATCTTTCTGATTCAGAATTGAACCTATTTTACTTCATTAAAAGCATCTAAATACAGAAAAGAACCTCCCAATCTTGTGAATATGCATAGGAAATATGGCTAAGTGACAGATATTCAAAGCTGAATCTCCAAGGTGTCATATATTCCTAGCTTTGGCAGATTTTGTTGTGTAATGGGTTTTTGTCCTCTACTGTAAAGTAAAATCAGACAGTTTGTGGTATTATTTCAAAGGATTCAGCTCCCTTATTTATTGACCAATTTCTCTGAAAAATGGAAGGATTGCTTCTCAAATGTGTGTTCAGAAAACCGTATCTCAGATTTTGATGTCCAGCTTAGTTTTGGAATTACTGAGGGAAATGTTAAATTAGGTTAATAAAAGTGCAACTGGCTGTAACTTTTGAATTAGAAGATTTATCAAAAATCTTAGATACAGTTTTTAAGTTCAATCTTTAATCTACCTTGAGGCAAAATGACGACTTTGAGGGGTTAAATACAAAAAAGTTGATTTAAAAAATATTTATACGCTAAAATTTACATAATATCTAAATAATTTTTAAATAAGTTATTAATTAAAGTTTAAATTAGGATAATTAAAAGTAAATTTAACAAGCTTTCAAATGATATATACTTTTATTATGTTATCTTTGATAATGAAAGAATTACATGCATATTAAATTCTGGCATTTGGAAACCTTTGGTGTATCCTTAAGCTCATTTTCGTAGGTTAAAATTTTTTTCGAGTTATAACACAAAACTTCAGCGAATAAACGCGTAACTTTCGCGTTATAACGCGAAACTCGCGTTATAACGCGTAACATTCGCGAATAAACGCAAAACTTTCGCGTTATCTTCATTCTGCTAAACGATCAGGAAAAAAAAAAATGCAACGCGCTAGAGTACAATGTATATTTAATTTTAGCACATCAATATTTCACACTATAATAGAGTATGTAAAGAACTATCTGTAAATCCTATATTAACACAATTGTTTTAATATACGATGTTTTTCGTGCGAAGGCAGACTATTAAGTATTTTTGCCTAGCGCTTACATATCGAGAAAGAGTGCTCGACATGACCAAAAACGATCATAAAAAAGATACTTTCAGTATCTTTTATATGAAAAAGTATAAGTTCCGTGGAACATTTTTTTTTTAAAAAAAAAAAAAAAAGGTCTTTTCAAATTTTACTCTTCTGCAAACACCGGATAGCATAAACTGAGTAACCTCTGTTTGATATAAATGCCAAAATCATGTCACATTTAAAGGAAGTGGAAGATTTAAAAAAAATCAAAGTAATGTGATACAACCTTCAACACAGCAATATAAGTAGAAATACAGAACAATGTCATAAGTCATGATAGTCACCATAATTTGCTATGAATCAATATATCTGTATTGACAATACATTAAAAAATAATTTCTTGTCATTAAGCATACCATAAATTCTACAGTTTTACTTTCAAATAAGAATATGACACTATTACATATGGTTAATATTTAGACTGGATCTCTAGAATAGAAAAAGAGAGCCTAGAACAGGAATTATTTAAAAATTATACAGATTTTTTTTTTGGGGGGGGGGGGGGGGGGAAGGGGAGGGGGGTATAAGGATGATGACCAAATTTGGAGTACATGATACAAAAGCAGTTTCAGAACAAAAGCAAGGCATCCAGTTGGACAAAAATTACAAGGGCATTAAAAATAATACCAGTAATTGGAATTTTTGAAGATAATTTCACACTATCTTATATTCTGCCTTTTGTAGAAAAATAAATCAAGAAATGATTATAGGACACCTCCCCAGAAATACCAATTCCTTGGTCTAGGTTCCCATGTTGTCCAAATATAATATAATTGTACTTCTTTACAGAGTTCAAAAGTAATGGAAAACAGTGAGAGGACATTTAAATTAAAATAGATCTATCCCAAACCCTGATGTGAAATTTCATCAACCCTAATATTATATACTTATGTAATGTATATAATGCCTTATTAAATTAAACATCTGTTTCCTTCACAAATGATGCATGTCAAAGAATAGATGTCAAATAAGGAAAGATGCTAAAACTCATTTGAAGGTTAAGATAAAAAGTTAACAAATCTAGATGTCATGTAGCGGTGGTCCTGTGTAAACTGAACTGTCACACCAAAAATCTCTCGGTTCATCAATTTCATTCAACCACTGGACATGTAAATCATTTAATTCATCAGTCTCCTCCAAAAGTGTATAATACTGACATGTTCTTGTCATAGTTTCATAGTCATACGGTGGAGCCAAAATGTCCAAGAACGCTGCCATATCACCAATGGCTTTGATTTCATGAAAATTACCGGATTCCGGTGTCAGAACGCAACATTCATCCTCCTCCGATAAACACGCACTGTCCTTTTTATTCACAGGGATTACATTAGAAAAAGGAAGGGTATTCATTTTCCTCCGTAATACGTCATCCGACAAAACCGCCCTACTATAGCTTTCAACTTTCATTTCTCCATGAATAGTTTTACATAGACCATACATCCCTGGATGATCATGGAGGGGCAACTTTGCGCCTTTTCTCATAACGAAAATGCCAACACTCATCACTTTGTCCTCGTACAGCTTAACATAAGTAACAGGTGCTTGTCTTCCCCGAAAGTTCGACGCATCGAAGTCGACATCGGATGCTCTGATTTGATTCAGAAGGGATTTAATTGGCGACAAGGTCCCTGCATCAACATTCACCCCTTTTGACAACTTAGAAAACGTCGAATGCGCAAGTTTTAGAACCTTTTGTATTGGAAATGCCATATTTACCAGATCAGATGGGCCCAGAATGCCCAATTTGAAAGTGAAAGTAAAATTAAGAACAGATTTTAGTAATCTGTACGTAAATCTTTCGTATTCATCAAAAATTGTATAGGATGATCGATCATGATTCAGTCGAATACCTTTAGGATTAAACTAACCATGCTAACATACAATCAAACTTAATGATGGGTCATTTGACCGTTTTAAAGTACGTGTTTATTATAAGGATTTAAAAAGGTTTGAATACATCGAATGTTTGCAAAACATTGTGCAACACTGACTGCCAACAGTCCAGAAACGGCTCAGAACAGTCTGAACACTGAAGAGTCTAGGCCCAAATGAAAAAATGTGCCAGAAGCCATAACAGGACATACAACTGTAAAATTAAAATCTTATTGAGCCGTTGAACTGAACGTGCAGAAAATGAAAAGGTGCAACAAAGGGATTCTAGGTATAAGAAAAGATCCAAAGAATCAAATTTTATTCTCTTTTTCTGCAAGAGAGGGCGAAGAATGGCCTTCGGATGATTCAGATTCGGATTTTGTACCATCAGATGAGGAGGATTTAAGACCAAAACGGTGTGTATATATATATCGTTTGATCCGTTCGTTGTTGCTCAATCTTTTTGTTGACTGTTCTGTACAAACACAATTTTATTTTTTTTTATCCAAGAGTTTATTGAGCTAAAATCTCAAGATTAAACAGATTAGGACCAATCGCACAAATAGGATATAATAGACCACTAAACATTACAGTGCCAAAAATGAGAAAAAAATATCGGTAAAATAAGTCCACATAAATATAAACTGAATACAATAACTTTTGGCAAGCAAGTTTTTCTTTAACCCTACAGTTTGTGAGTTTAGGATCTTCCGAGAGATCAATCTCCTAAACACTGGGGATACTGAAAAACTTATTAACCAAAAATTGCTTTTTAAGTATTTTGATGCAGATTTAAAGAATTATAGCTGAATGAAAAATCTTAATTTTTTGTACTGTAAATTTATATTCAGTTTGGGATATTATATCCTAATTGGACAATTGGTCTTAACCTGATTAAGCGTCCAATGTCAAGGTCGTTCTGGATTTAAAGTAACTTTTACTCCCATTTCTTACAGTCAGCAGAATGGACAATCATGAGGAAGAATTTATCTCTTATCACTTTACTGAGTATTCTATTCAATTCATCCAATTAAAAGTTTTAGCCATTAATTTGGTAATAGGAAAAAGAAGAAGAAAACCAAATCAAGTGAAAAACCAACCACAGAACATTTCAAGGAACCAAATAATTCTGTGAAGACAGGGAATGCATGTGCCAGCCTGCCTGAAGAAATATGGACTTACATCTTTCAAATTATTGTGAAAGGGATGGGCCCATTACCTTTTTTATGCAGGTTACTTTTTAACAAAAGAATGTAATTTTAAATCCAAGAAAAAAAGTCAGACCATTCAATGATTCTCTTTTTTTTTTGGAGTCAAGAGGTACCCTTAAAATGATTAATTATTTTATTTTATTTTTTTTTTTTGCCCTTAGAATTTGTTATTTGCAAACAAAAGTTCTTTTTTTCAGAGCAGCAAAAGTATGCAAGCTATGGCGGACTCTTGCAAGTCATCCATCTTTGTGGAAAAAGGTTGACTTATCATTTGGATGGATTTGTCCCAAAAAGGATACTCTGAGGTGGCTGGTCAGAGAGAGATTAACTCAGTGCACACAGGTTAATCTCACAAATTGGACCATAACTAATGACCAACTTAAGGTACTGATACTAGCTTTTGGTTTTACTCACAGAATATAATGAGATTCATGTATACTAGATAATAGTGTAAGAGATAAAGAGAAATGCATTCTATAAATGTCTGTAGCAGCTCACTCCACTCTGTTTTTATCATCTAATTATTTAATTGAGAATTTATCCATCCATTTTATCTCTATTTTTATTATCCTTTATACATTATTCTCCCAAAAAAGTGCTTTTATTCCATTATCTTTGTCATGAGTTTGTGAATTCCAGACTGGCATGACTGAAAATTCTACTTCCTCTCTTTCTTGTAGATGGTACTACAGAACTGTCCTGAATTAAGAAATATAAATTTATCTCGCTGTAAAAAATTATCTCAGGATGGATTTACAGCCTTGGTAGATAACTGTCCAAGATTACACAAGCTGGATGTCTCCTTTACAACAGTAAGTTGTTTTCTGTTTAATTAACAAAGTAGTCTCTAATATATGTTTTACATTCATAATGCATAATAATAAAATTAGTGAAACATATTTGCTTTGTAAAATTTGAATTTTGCATAATAGATGAACTTTGGTATGTTGAACATTGAAATCTCTAATACCATGGACAAGTCAAAGTTTTTTTTTACTTTTTTTACATGATGTATTTTAACCCCAATATCTGAAATCCTGGGGTATCTAGAAGTTTTTTTGCTTGGCCACACCAATTGTTACTAAATTAGATTTTTACGTACACATTTCCTTTCTTACATTTTCATGTGTATTGAACAGATTAGTGCCAATGCAATAAAAGAAATTGTGGTAAAACATGGATCTCAACTGAAAGAACTACATTTAGGAGGAAACTACTATGTAAACTTTTCAGCTCTTGCAAACAGCCTATTTGTAAGTTCACTAATTTTCAGAGCATTTGTGCATAATTTTATTAGCTATCATTTTTTCATGTGTGCAGTGTTGCAGTGAATGGAAAAGTTGTTCCCCTTGAATTATAAACAAACATGTTTATCTTCTAGGAAAACTGTCCCAATGTAGAGGTATTAGATGTATCCAACTGTCGATTTTCAGGAGATTATGAAAGCATTAATGTGCAAAAGTTTCAGATAGGCTGTCCAAAATTACGAATCCTTCGAATGGGGAGTTCTAAATTCAGATTAAAGGTACTGTAATCTTTGTTTAAATAAAATGAGAAAAGTTGCAAAATTTGCATTAGCCTAGCACAAACTTACCCTAAGAAGTTAAATAAAATCATAATTTTGCTCTTTTCTTCTGAAAGATAACTATAATGATTAAAGGCCTTGTTTTAAAACAGAAAGGGAGTGGAGACCTGACAGGATTTGAAGAACTAGAAGAGCTGAGCTTGGGATGCATAGACAGGAGTAAAAGTGGTGGAATCAATACAGCTTTTGTATATGAGTAGGTTTCATTTAAATTTTATATTCTCACATGACGAGGGTCTTTCTTTTGAATTTTAGAAATACTGGGTACCCAGTAATCCGTTTTAAACTGTAACACCAGTGACACCTCATATGCCAAGGAAGAGTGCTTGCCTTTTACATTTCATATTACATATAGATAAATATATTACTCATTTATTGTTTGAATTTCAGTATTCTAGTAAAATCTTCCAAGTTAAAACTGTTGGATCTTGGAGGTTGCTGGAACATGGAAGACATGTCCCCCCTGTTGGGCCTCCCTTTCACTGAACTTGAACAGCTCTATCTCTCCAGTTCTCCAATAAGTCTCAATTACCTACTGGGACCTCTATTGCAGAAGGTAAGTGTGAAATGTTAACAGTCTCAATAACATAATGGGGTCTCTACTACAGAAGGTTAATCTGAAATGTAAAGAGTCTCAATTACCCACTGGGAACCTCTACTGCAGTAGGTAAATGTGAATTGTATAGAATCTCAATTCCTTACTGGGGCCTCTACTGCAGATCTGAAATGTAAAAGAGTCTCAATTTATACCCACTGGAGGCCTCTACTGTAGAAGGTAAATGTGAAATGTAAAGAGTCTAAATTACCCAGTAGGGGTCTCTACTACAAAAGGTAAATCTGAAATGTTAAGAGTCTCAATTACCCATTGGGGTCTCTACTGCAGAAGGTAAATCAGAAATGTAAAGAGTCTCAATTACCCACCAGGGGCCTCTACTGCAGAAGATTAGTCTGAATTGTAGAGTCTCAGTGTATTAAGGTAAAGTTATCCTAATTGCAGTATAGTATCTTCTTTGAGCATTATATACTTATTCAAGGAGCTCCTGGGTTTCCTCAAAAAGCAATTCAAGTTTACTGTGAAAACATTTATTACTAATTTTGTTCATAACATATTCATTAATTTACAAATTGCTACAAATATTACCAGGGTTTATATGAAACTTTCCGAGTCTTGACACTGGGGGTTTAGTATGCGCATGTAAACAAACAGGTTTAACTTAAATGATCATGTTCATTTAGATTTGTGTCTATTTTACCCAGTGTAGCTTGAGCCTTAGAATTCTGCACATTGATAAAAACATCTTCAAGGGAGACTCTTTAGTCACTGCTCTACAAGAATTGTTCACCCCTCAGCGTGGTGCTAGTGTTCTAGAGATGGTGAACGCTGCAGAAACAAACATTAGTCAAGCCAGTGTAGAGTGAGTTTAGACACAAATAACCAGTAAATCAACAAGTCCGCATATAGCTTTTAAAATATGTAGTTAATATCTTTATATTATCTTTATATTTCATCTTTCAGAAATATTCTGAGACACTGTGGGAGACTTCACTACATCAATCTGTCATCATGCCGTGCTCTTCCCAGAGGAATAAAGCGCGAGTACAAGAATACAGAGATAAAAGTACTGAAGTCATTCTGTGGCATCAAATGAACTATCTGAGTGGTAGATCGCTACTACAGGTCCTTTCTAACAGTGATTACAAAATCAGACACTTTTTAAGAGTGATTTTGAAATCAATCAACAAACTTCAAGTCTTGATAAAGTTTGCTAACATGTGAATAGATGAAGTTCAAAGAATTCTGTATTAAACTCTTAAGACAATTACAGTTTAAGCAGATGGAGTCACTCAGGAATTCCCATTACCAAAGACTATATTATTTTGGTACAGACTGTTGATCATCAGGTAGAATTACTCAGGTATTCTGTTAAAATTCAGGAATAACATTAGTCCGGCTGGAAATGTTGCTCAAGTACAAGATAAATTTTTATCTGGTGCCTGATAAATGAACAAAAGTTATTCTGTATGATTATATTCTTAACAGAAATATTTTATATACCGTATTTTAACTTTAGACCTTTACATTAATATAGATATACCTATTTGTTCTTGAAGCAGTACATGTACTTGGTTATTGAATGAATTATAAAGGGTATATTTTTTATGATTCTTTATTAAAATAAAGACATTTGCATAAGTTTTTCCTCTAATATATCAAAGTTTGTTCAAATGATGGCCTTGTGGCTAGGATAAGGCCAGTGTATGGTGTCAGTTACATCTCACCAGAATTATGAAAATAATACATGTACTCGATTTCATTCATTGTCTTCAAATGTGTTTGGTGCAGGTTTGATTCTTAAGTACTGTAATTTCTATGGTGACCAAACTTGCATGGATGATGCATCTAAGGATGCAAGGATGCACACTACCAGATATGGCTATGATGTTGAATCTTACTTGCATTTTCCATATGATTGAACAAATTTTCTGGATGATTGAACAGGAGTTTTGAAGCAAGCTAGTCCATTCCTAAAATCCTACATAGACCCAACTTGTATAAATGTTTTATCTAGGGATGCTTACTACCAGAATATTTGCTAGGTGTGAGACTGCCTTACTTTAAAAAGTGAGCTATGTAAATCTTTCATTACCTTTGTTTCTAGCTGGCACTATTTTTATACCCCGTCCTTGGGTAAACTATAACTTCATAATGGAAGAACATTAAACAAGTTATTTTGCAATAATGGTTGGTCTGATGAACTTTTGAAGCAGTGGGTTTATTTCTGTATCTATAAATGTAAATAATTTAATTCCTTTCTTTAATCCTCACAATGGTTTGTTCATACAGTGAAAATATTTACTGTATAAGGCACTATACTAAATTTCAAGTTGGACTATCTCTCAGGTTATGCACAGAGTCAAGACCTTTCAAACTGGAATTGTTAATACAACTATGAAACTTCAGGCATCCTATACTGAGCAGTCCAGCGTACCTGAAGACCAATGTACCTGATATTGTCTCTGATTTCACTGTAACAACTACTGTTGAAGTACTTATTTCCCTGTAGTATTAATTCATGCTATGAACGCGGTCACAAACTTTTCGTGAAAATTTGTCCCAGAGTACTTTTAAAAGTACATTTAAGGCGTATAATGGCAATCTAAGATATCTGCATAATTTTCTACCCGCTGATTGAGCAGAAATTGTGAATCCGCAGAATTTTGACCCCATTGAAAAAAGTACTTTAAATTTCTGTATACCCTTTTAATTATAGTAAGGGAATGCAAGAGTGAAGCTAGATATGGCCAATGGAAAAAATATGAATTATCTTCTCTGTACAAACAGTGTTCGTTGGCCAGTAGAACTAATGAATGGATGTAAGAGAAATGAGGATATACTGCTCAGTGTTCAATAAAGATGGAAAGTGGTGTTCTACATAAGTCAAAATTGAAATGTTTTATTTATGTCAGTTAAATTGAAATCACGAATTCTTTGGTGTTGAATCTTATCTACATGTATTAGGTAATACAAATGTACATGTATTTACCAAATAATTAGTACTGGTAAATATACATGTATATTGATTTTGGTGCTCCTTGATTTCTCTGCTATTGGCCATTGCAGTACAACAGATTATATACTGTAGATATGCAAAAATACACAGTACATTCTAGTTTAAGTTAGTATTATCACTAGGTAGTTCTTAGTACAACATATTTATTGTAATGCATACATGTAAACATCATATAATCCTTTGGGAAAGCCTTTCTGCTTTTCACACTTGAGAATTTTGAGTCCTGACATGGAAATCACTTTGTCTAATTCAGCACGTGTTCTTGTGTAACTGCTGTCCAGCTCATCAAACTCTCTCTCCTGTCCTGAAATGTTCTCTTTTAGGATAACAATACCATTTTTGGCCAGACCTAATTGACACCTTTTAAGAAAGTTGAGCAAGTGTTCATCAGTCAGGTGCCCCAGTACCCACTGAGTCCAGATCACATCATAGGAGCCTGGTTCAGGTGTAAAGTTCTGTAGTCCTGAACAGAAGAGATTGTCCACACGTGATGATTCTTCTCCAATAAAAGACCGTGCTTCATCTAAAAATTTCTGATTAAGTTCCACCATGTCTACTGTTTTGAATATAGGTAGCAGTAGTCTCTTTGTTATCCTCCCTATTCCAGCTCCACAGTCTAAAGCCCTTGTCATCTCAGTTTTTCCACCTCCAATCTGTTAAAAGAATTTCATCTGTTAAAAACAAAAAAGTAGCCCTGGGGCCTGGGCCTATTCAATCAATAAAGCAAACAAGAAATGATGTTTTATCATAATCCTGCCTTTGAGATAGTCCAGGCAATCAAAAAAGCAATACAGTAAAACACGCTTATAACGAAGTGCCAGGGACAAACGATTTTACTTGTTATAAACATACCTGGTTATATCCATTAAGTTAACAAAGCCACAGGAAATAAAAATCACTTCGCTGTAAGCGTCAATTCATAATAAGCGTGTTCGCTATAAGCGTGTTTTACTGTATTATTATGTTATATAGCTTTTCTGTTACTCCATCAACAATAACAGGGGCAATAAACCGACAAGAGAATATAATTATTCAATGCATTTCAATCAATATTTTTCAAAATATTGTATTCGTTAGACATGAACTCCCACTGAACAACACTTGAACTTCAAGTTGAACTGGTAAGTCTACATCAACCAGTCAACATGGTAAAAACTTACCACAAGTAACGGGCGAAGAAACGCGTGTGATCCATTGATGTCTGTTGGTGAAATTTTGGCAAATCCTCCCAACATACCATCAACAGTTGGCGTAATTCCTTCCCAATAGTTTTTAGCATCGCCGTAGAACTTTTCTTCATCATCGAGAGACATGTCTTCAATATTTTGGGGATTACAGATATTTGACAACTTGATCAATAGTTAGCCGACACATTAATTTTATTATACTTAATGAAACTTTGAATACTAGGCCCATGTTATTTTTGTTTTTGAGATATTGTTCTAAAGTTCCCATCTAATCAAATTTATGTTCACTTTATGAAGAAAAAGCAATAAATGTTTAGAAATTTGAGTCCGAAATATTCTATGAAAGAGTTATCAAATCTTTAGAAATAACGAGGAAGTTCGAAAAATCTCTGCATGATGGACATTAGAATTAGTGCTACCGGAATCCAAAATAACCGAAAAAAGCAAACACAAATCGATGAAATAGACAATCTTGTTTCCCCAGGAGATATCATTACTTCCGACACAGGATTTATGCGGTATGTTTCCAATGCAATTCTTGCCATATTTACAGTATAGTAGATCTATCGAAAATCATCATAGGGTATTTATCATAGGGCATTTATTCAGTTATTGTGCTTGTTTCTTGGAGTGTTTTTAATACCACACAAAGGAGGTTGTAAAATATTCTATTTTACTGGCGCTTTTGATTTTCATTTGATAACTTGTTTTAAGGATGACGTTTACTCAGGTTTCAGAAGACAGAAGGGAAATTTTATAAAGTACAATATGTTAAATCAAAAATTGTTCTAAATGGATAAAATAACCAAGTTTTAACTCAATATCAATTTAAAAATTTAATATTTTATTATTTTAAGAAAAAATGCAAGAACAAAAGTCAATATATGGTAATGCAGAGGAAATTCGAACTAAATTTTTAATTTTTGATACAAAATTTTATTTCTTGCAATATCAATTACAAAGTAAAGGTTACATATATTTTTAAACATCATTTTGCAAATATTATATGTGTTAAAGCTCATGAATTATTTCAAATAATTGAATGCCATGAAATAAAGAAATTCAAAAATATGACCAAAAAACATTCCAGACAACATATCTCATTAATTTGATCATTGACCTCATATAATTTTAATAACATTAGAATAAGGGCAACAAAACTAAACTGAGGCAATGAATAATTTAGAGTTCTAAGCATTCAGATTTTTGTAATATTAGATTAAAAACGGGGAAAAAATAGAAATCTGACAGAGGAAATTCGGACTGAAATAAATAATAAGTTTATGGCCCAAACTCTATTCTTTTATTTATATGAAGCAACGCTGTTCCATTCCTATTATATTTCATTTTTTTTAAAGAGTTTTATTGCTTGTAATATTTTGTGAGTAAAGAAAAACTGGTCATAGTGTGAAAAATTGAGGTATTTTCCGAGAAATACTCAGGGGTACGGAAGCGTATTAGGGCCGCAGCAGTATCTTTTATTAATTTGTTTTAACAAATTACTAATTTGTTATAACAGATTACTAATTTGTTATAACAGATTACTAATTTTTTATAACAAATTATCAATTTGTTAAAACAAATTACTAATTTGTTAAAACAAATTACTAATTTGTGAAAACAAATTACTAATTTGTTATAACAGATTACTAATTTGTTATAACAGTTTTCACAAATGCATAATAAGAACAGCAATAATTCACATGCCTCCTAGCTGTGCATTATCTTAAATCTTTCACTTCATGCATATTTTATTGCGGTTGAATTCATTATTTATTTCGGTATTTTTTTCACAGAGGACATGGTACTTACAACTCAGAAGATGATAGGTTGCTCGCCTCAGTGGCTGGGGTCGTGGAACGAGTCAATAAGTTGATATGTGTTAAACCACTGAAAACAAGGTGAAGATCTACTCAACTGTCACAAACAAAATATCTCTAAGAACAGATTTTTTCTGAATTATTAATAAGTTTGTTTAGAAATGAAAGCAAAATTTCCCTTTCAGATACAATGGAGAGATTGGGGATGTAGTTATAGGGAGGATAATTGAGGTCCAGCAGCGTAGATGGAAGGTGGAAACCCACTCCAAACTTGACTCTTCTCTTTTGTTGTCATCAGTAAATTTACCAGGAGGAGAATTGGTAAGGTTGTCACTATCGGAGAACTGATATAAAGGTTGACTGGTGGAGAACTGGTAATGTTGCCACAGGTAGAGAACTTCTGTGTACATGTGTCTACATGATGTAGGGGTTAATATATGAGTAGTGCTCCATTCCTTAAAAGTAATGGAGCTGATGCCCCGAAGAGGCTGAGGCCCATTGCTTTTAAGGAATGGAGCACTACTTGTATATTGATCAGCTTAAAATCCACTGTGGTTCTCACTGATGGAGAATCTATCAAATTAATTACGGAAAAGTTACATTGTTGAGTATGTTCTTGAGAAGCAATTAAGTCTATACCGTAGTAAAAAAAATACTTGAAAGGTTATGCCACCCATGATTACCTGGTAGGATTGAGTCAATTTATTGAATTATGAACAGTGGAATATCATGCCTATATAGATGTAAGAGGAGCACATGGATCCTTTTTGAAAATATTTTTTAAAATGTACCAGCAGTGAAGAGTTTTTGAATAACTGCTTTTTGGAGGTCTTGAAACATAATAAACCATTTTTAGCTCACCTCGACGAAGTTGAGATGAGCTTGTGCTATACCCCTGGTGTTGACGTCGGCGTTAATGTCGGCATCCCGGTTAAAGCAGGGTTAGAAACTCCCTAAAATTACAACTCGCAAATAATTGCGAGTACCAAGAAAGTGAACTCGCAATTTTATGAGACTACTCGCAATTTTCATATAAAGTTAAGTTTATGTAAATTAAATATGTAACTTAAGGAAAAAGTAACTACTGTACAATACACAAAATACAACTACAGTGTGACTTTGTTAAATTACTGATTTAAATCAAAATCATTGTGTTCTGTCATATTATATAATTTTGCTATAGTTTCAATGCAAAAAAAATCAACTCGCAAGTTTTTGCGAGTTACCTAATTTTTAACTTGCAATTTAGGAATTCTAACTCGCGTTTTGCGAGTTGTATATAGTGAATTTCGAACCCTGTTAAAGTTTTAGGAGCAAGTCCATTCCCAAGGAATTATAAGCCCTACCTGGACCAAACTTGCATGGATGATGCATCTAGGGATGGACACTACCACACTTACTTCGGATGCTGGATCTGACCTAGATTTTCCAGATGATTGACCAGGTTAAAGTTTTTGGAGCAGGTCCATTCCCAAGGAATTATAAGCCCTACCTGGACCAAACTTGCATGGATGATGCATCTAGGGATGGACACTACCACACTTGCTTCGGATGCTGGATCTGATCTAGATTTTCCAGATGAGTGACCAGGTTAAAGTTTTTGGAGCAGGTCCATTCCCAAGTAACTATAAGTCCTACCTGGACCAAACTTGCATGGATGATGCATCTGGGGATGGACACTACCACACTTGCTTCGGATGCTGGATCTTACCTAGGTTTTCCAGATGATTGACCAGGTTAAAGTTTTTGGAGCAGGTCCATTCCCAAGTAACTATAAGCCCTACCTGGAACAAACTTGCATGGATGATGCATCTGGGGATGGACACTACCACACTTGCTTCGGATACTGGATCTGACCTAGGTTTTCCAGATGATTGACCAGGTTAAAGTTTTTGGAGCAGGTCCATTCCCAAGTAACTATAAGCCCTACCTGGAACAAACTTGCATGGATGATGCATATAGGGATGGACACTACCACACTTGCTTCAGATGCTGGATCTGACCTAGATTTTCCAGATGATTGACCAGGTTAAAGTTTTTGGAGCAGGTCCATTCCCAAGTAAATTATAAGCCTTACCTGGATCAAACTTGCATGGATGATGCATATAGGGATGGACACTACCACACTTGCTTCGGATGCTGGATCTTACCTAGATTTTCCAGATGATTGACCAGGTTAAAGTTTTTGGAGCAGGTCCATTCCCAAGTAAATTATAAGCCTTACCTGGATCAAACTTGCATGGACGATGCATATAGGGATGGACACTACCACACTTGCTTCGGATGCTGGATCTGACCTAGATTTACCAGATTGGTCACTAGGTTAAAGTTTTTGGAGCAGGTCCATTCTCAAGGAACTATTAGCCCTACCTGGACCAAACTTGCATGGATTATGCATCTGGGGATGGACAATACCACACTTGCTTCGGATGCTGGATCTGACCTAGATTTTCCAGATGAGTGACCAGGTTAAAGTTTTTGGAGCAGGTACCCAATTATAAGCCCTACCTGGACCAAACCTGCATGGATGATGCATCAAAGAAAGAACACTACCATACTTGCTTCAGATACTGGATCTGACCTACATTTTCCAGATGAGTGACTAGTTTAAAGGTTTGGGAGCAGGTCTATTCCCAAGTGATTATTTAAGCCTTACCTTGACCAAACTTGCATGGATAATGCATCTAGGGATGGACACTACCACACTTGCTTCAGATGCTGGATCTGACCTAGATTTTCCAGATGAGTGACCAGGTTTAAGTTTTTGGAGCAGGTCCATTCGGATTCCCAAGAAATTATAAGCCTTACCTGGATCAAACTTGCATGGATGATGCATCTGGGGATGGACACTACTATACTTGTTTCGGAAGCTGGATCTGACCTAGATTTTCCAGATGATTGACCAGGTTGAAGTTTTTGGAGCAGGTCCATTCCCAAGAAACTGTAAGCCCTATCTAAACCAAACTTGCATGGATGATGCATCTAGGGATGTACACTAACTAACCTGCTTCGGATTCTGGATCTGACCTAGATTTTCCACATGAGTGAATTTTAGCCATATTTTAACCAAATTAGCATGGATGATGATGTATCTAGAGATGGAGACTTCCAGACTTGTTTTGGATTTTGAATCTAATATTGATGGATGTACACTAACTAGGAAAAAAATATGATGTGAGATTTGCCTTACTTATAGATAACATTCGTCGAGGTGAGCTTAGTAATCTTTGATTACCTATGTTTATTTTCACAGAGAAGAAGATCTGAGGAAGATGAAAAAATGATGCGGTTGTACTTAAAGGAGGGAGACTTGATTAGTGTATCCTAATAGATGGAAATTATAGAGATGAAAGTAATTAAATTCTGGAAAGAGTACTGAATGTTTCAACACTATCTTGTAGGTGTACATGAATATGTTTAGATCTATAAAATTATTACTGGTATTTTAACGGAATTGAACTTAATTAAGAAACTGTATCAGGATTCAAGATACCAGTGGTTCAATGTTCTCAGCATATTTGCAGTTACCTCCAAACTAATTTCATAGTATTTATATAGTCAGTGTACTGTACTTCACTAGATCTAAACTTCAGTTTGTAATCAATTCAAGCATTCCATTAGGTCAAAACATTTTATTTACATGTATTTATTGTTCATCAGTACTTTATTGACTTTTTTCCTGGGAGTAAATGACTTGCACCCTATGTTGTAATTGAAATATTCTCATTTATATGTCAGATATAATTTTTTCAATGTCCAAAAACATAAGTTTTATAGCATAGTGTATAGAAAGTCTTTTATATGGGGAGAAATTGTAAGTTATGTAGAGACTTAGAGGGGTAATACGGAAATATATGGGGTTCTTGAAAAATGCATATTACGTCAAGCTAAGTATGCATTTTCTCAAGGACCCCATACATTTCCGTATTACCCCTATAGGTGTCTACATAACAAATTTATCCTGTCGAAGAATTTTTAATGAAGTTTTTAATGAAATTTTTAATGAAGCAAATCTTTCAGTAACAATCATTTACATTGTTCATGTTGTTTGATGTTTATGTGATGTCATTTATTAGGCTTCTTGCATGTTCAAATGAAAACAGCGTATTGAATATGATCTGGACAGAATGGCATGTGGAGAGGGTATATTGATTTGATATGTGGTCAGTAGGTCACAAGGAGGGGGCATATTAACAATATAATGCCGGTAGTCAGCATAATATGGTTTTATACAGTTGTGGCGGTCAAACAGGTTTGATCGCTGGTGGCCAGATGGCTCAGTTGGTAGAGCACCTGACTGGAGATTCAGGGGGCCTGGGTTCGAATCCTGGTCTGGTCCGTCGCATTTTTCTCCTCGCCTGTTACATTTGTGCTGTATCATGACCAGGAAGTGACAGGTGAAAGACCTGCTAGGGAAGAGCCTGGGTTGGTGTGTTCGCATTTTTCTCCTCTCCTGTTGCACAGTATTCTTCTTGACCAATGAAATTTCAGAATTTTTTTCAGAGGCAGGATAATTCTTTAAATACAGCGAGTAAACAAATATCATATATATATCCTTGACCTTAGATATCAGGCAGAGGTTCAATCAGTGTTTGCTGATGGTTCATTATCACTGCACACCAGAAGTCTTAAATATGGAAAGGTAGGCAACTATTAAATACCCATGTACAACATATTGATAAACTTGATCCTGTAGCATTATATTAGATCCACTGAATCCATTAATATGGGAAATGTCTCTGTAAATACCCACTTTGTTTCGAAGAGATGCAGCATTGAATTATAGAGGATGCTGTAACTATCTGCCTTCTATTTACAATTCACTCTGTATTATATTTTGAATTTTCAATTCTCTGAATAGATTATCTTAGTCATACAATCAAACCTCGTTATCTCAAACTCAATGGGACTGAGAAAAAACTTCGATATATCTGAGGATTCAAGATATCAGGGGTAAAATACTTAAAGATTAAGTGGTTGGGACTTCCAAATCACTTCAATATATCCATGGTATTCGAGATATCAGTGTTTGAGATACCAAAGTTCAACTGTATTTATGTTTTGAAACCATAGCTAGGACAAGGAACCCTAATTCATGTCTCTCCCTCACTGATTAAAAGAAGGAAAACCCACTTTCATCACCTGCCTTGTGGGGCCACTATTATTCTGGGTAACAATGGATTTGTGTGGATCTGTCCCACAGAGACTGGGGAGATGGACCAAACAGGGGGATACCAGCTTAGTATGGAGGTAAGGATGATAACCTACTGTACAAATGAAGAATAACAGCTTAGGATAGAGGTAAGGATGATTACCAAGTGTATGATTGAAGGATAACAACCTAGTGTAGAGGTAAGGATGATAGTCTATGTACAACTGAAGTATAACAACCTAGTAAGGAAGTAAGGATGATAGTCTAGTGTAGAACTGAAGGATAACAACCTATTGTAGAGGTAAGGATGATAGTCTAGTGTAGGACTAAAGGATAACAACCTAGTGTAGAGGTAAGGATGATAGTCTATGTACGACTGAAGTATAACAACCTAGTAAGGAAGTAAGGATGATAGTCTAGTGTAGGACTGAAGGATGAAAACCTAGTATGGGGGGTAAGGATGATAGTCTAGTGTAGGACTGAAGGTTAAAAACTTAGTATGGAGGTAAGGATGATAGTCTAGTGTAGGACTAAAGGATAACAACCTAGTGTAGAGGTAAGGATGATAGTCTAGTGTAGGACTAAAGGATAACAACTAAGTGTAGAGGTAAGGATGATAGTCTAGTGTAAAGATGATAGTCTAGTGTAGAACTTAAGGATAACAACCTAGTGTAGAGGTAAGGATGATAGTCTAGTGTAGGACTAAAGGATAACAACCTAGTGTAGAGGTAAGGATGATAGTCTAGTGTAGGACTAAAGGATAACAACCTAGTGTAGAGGTAAGGATGATAGTCTAGTGTAGGACTAAAGGATAACAACCTAGTGTAGAGGTAAGGATGATAGTCTAGTGTAGGACTAAAGGATAACAACCTAGTGTAGAGGTAAGGATGATAGTCTAGTGTAGGACTAAAGGATAACAACTTAGTGTAGAGGTAAGGATGATAGTCAAGTGTAGAATTAAAGCATAACAACTTAATGTAGAGGTAAGGATGATAGTCTAGTGTAGGACTAAAGGATAACAACCTAGTGTAGAGGTAAGGATGATAGTCTATGTACAACTGAAGTATAACAACCTAGTAAGGAAGTAAGGATGATAGTCTAGTGTAGAACTGAAGGATAACAACCTCGTGTAGAGGTAAGGATGATAGTCTAGTGTAGGACTAAAGGATAACAACCTAGTGTAGAGGTAAGGATGATAGTCTATGTACGACTGAAGTATAACAACCTAGTAAGGAAGTAAGGATGATAGTCTAGTGTAGGACTGAAGGATGAAAACCTAGTATGGGGGGTAAGGATGATAGTCTAGTGTAGGACTAAAGGATAACAACTTAGTATGGAGGTAAGGATGATAGTCTGTTGTAGGACTGAAGGATAACAACCTAGTATGGAGGTAAGGATGATAGTCTGTTGTAGAACTAAAGGATAACAACCTAGTGTAGAGGTAAGGATGATAGTCTAGTGTAGGACCGAAGGTTAACAACTTAGTATGAAGGTAAGGATGATAGTCTAGTGTAGGACTAAAGGATAACAACCTAGTGTAGAGGTAAGGATTATAGTCTGTTGTAGGACTGAAGGTTAACAACTTAGTCTGGAGGTAAGGATGATAGTCTAGTGTAGGACCGAAGGTTAACAACTTAGTATGGAGGTAAGGATGATAGTCTGTTGTAGAACTAAAGGATAACAACCTAGTATGGAGGTAAGGATGATAGTCTGTTGTAGGACTGAAGGATAACAACCTAGTATGGAGGTAAGGATGATAGTCTGTTGTAAAACTAAAGGATAACAACCTAGTGTAGAGGTAAGGATGATAGTCTAGTGTAGGACCGAAGGTTAACAACTTAGTATGAAGGTAAGGATGATAGTCTAGTGTAGGACTAAAGGATAACAACCTAGTGTAGAGGTAAGGATGACAGTCTAGTGTAGGACTAAAGGATAACAACCTAGTGTAGAGGTAAGGATGATAGTCTATGTACGACTGAAGTATAACAACCTAGTAAGGAAGTAAGGATGATAGTCTAGTGTAGGACTTAAGGATGAAAACCTAGTATGGGGGGTAAGGATGATAGTCTAGTGTAGAACTAAAGGATAACAACCTAGTGTAGAGGTAAGGATGATAGTCTAGTGTAGGACTAAAGGATAACAACTTAGGGTAGAGGTAAGGATGATAGTCTAGTGTAAAGATGATAGTCTAGTGTAGAACTAAAGGATAACAACCTAGTGTAGAGGTAAGGATGATAGTCTAGTGTAGGACTAAAGGATAACAACTTAGTGTAGAGGTAAGGATGATAGCCTAGTGTAGGACTTAAGGATAACAACCTAGTGTAGAGGTAAGGATGATAGTCTAGTGTAGGACTAAAGGATAACAACCTAGTGTAGAGGTAAGGATGATAGTCTAGTGTAGGACTAAAGGATAACAACCTAGTGTAGAGGTAAGGATGATAGTCTAGTGTAGAATTAAAGGATAACAACTTAATGTAGAGGTAAGGATGATAGTCTAGTGTAGGACTAAAGGATAATAACCTAGTGTAGAGGTAAGGATGATAATCTAGTGTAGGACTAAAGGATAACAACCTAGTGTAGAGGTAAGGATGATAGTCTAGTATAGGACTAAAGGATAACAACCTAGTGTAGAGGTAAGGATTATAGTCTGTTGTAGGACTGAAGGTTAACAACTTAGTATGGAGGTAAGGATGATAGTCTAGTGTAGGACCGAAGGTTAACAACTTAGTATGGAGGTAAGGATGATAGTCTGTTGTAGAACTAAAGGATAACAACCTAGTATGGAGGTAAGGATGATAGTCTGTTGTAGGACTGAAGGATAACAACCTAGTATGGAGGTAAGGATGATAGTCTGTTGTAGAACTAAAGGATAACAACCTAGTGTAGAGGTAAGGATGATAGTCTAGTGTAGGACCGAAGGTTAACAACTTAGTATGAAGGTAAGGATGATAGTCTAGTGTAGGACTAAAGGATAACAACCTAGTGTAGAGGTAAGGATGACAGTCTAGTGTAGGACTAAAGGATAACAACCTAGTGTAGAGGTAAGGATGATAGTCTATGTACGACTGAAGTATAACAACCTAGTAAGGAAGTAAGGATGATAGTCTAGTGTAGGACTTAAGGATGAAAACCTAGTATGGGGGGTAAGGATAATAGTCTAGTGTAGGACTGAAGGTTAACAACTTAGTATGGAGGTAAGGATGATAGTCTAGTGTAGAACTAAAGGATAACAACCTAGTGTAGAGGTAAGGATGATAGTCTAGTGTAGGACTAAAGGATAACAACTTAGGGTAGAGGTAAGGATGATAGTCTAGTGTAAAGATGATAGTCTAGTGTAGAACTAAAGGATAACAACCTAGTGTAGAGGTAAGGATGATAGTCTAGTGTAGGACTAAAGGATAACAACTTAGTGTAGAGGTAAGGATGATAGTCTAGTGTAGGACTAAAGGATAACAACCTAGTGTAGAGGTAAGGATGATAGTCTAGTGTAGGACTAAAGGATAACAACCTAGTGTAGAGGTAAGGATGATAGTCTAGTGTAGGACTAAAGGATAACAACCTAGTGTAGAGGTAAGGATGATAGTCTAGTGTAGAATTAAAGGATAACAACTTAATGTAGAGGTAAGGATGATAGTCTAGTGTAGGACTAAAGGATAACAACCTAGTGTAGAGGTAAGGATGATAGTCTAGTGTAGGACTAAAGGATAACAACCTAGTGTAGAGGTAAAGATGATAGTCTAGTATAGGACTAAAGGATAACAACCTAGTGTAGAGGTAAGGATTATAGTCTGTTGTAGGACTGAAGGTTAACAACTTAGTCTGGAGGTAAGGATGATAGTCTAGTGTAGGACCGAAGGTTAACAACTTAGTATGGAGGTAAGGATGATAGTCTGTTGTAGAACTAAAGGATAACAACCTAGTATGGAGGTAAGGATGATAGTCTGTTGTAGGACTGAAGGATAACAACCTAGTATGGAGGTAAGGATGATAGTCTGTTGTAGAACTAAAGGATAACAACCTAGTGTAGAGGTAAGGATGATAGTCTAGTGTAGGACCGAAGGTTAACAACTTAGTATGAAGGTAAGGATGATAGTCTAGTGTAGGACTGAAGGTTAACAATCTAGTATGGCAGTAAGGATGATAGTCTAGTGTAGGACTGAAGGATAACAACCTAGTGTAGAGGTAAGGATGATAGTCTAGTGTAGGACTAAAGGATAACAACCTAGTGTAGAGGTAAGGATGATAGTCTAGTGTAGGACTAAAGGATAACAACCTAGTGTAGAGGTAAGGATGATAGTCTAGTGTAGGACTAAAGGATAACAACCTAGTGTAGAGGTAAGGATGATTGTCTAGTGTAGGACTAAAGGATAACAACCTAGTGTAGAGGTAAGGATGATAGTCTAGTGTAGGACTGAAGGTTAACAACTTAGTATGGAGGTAAGGATGATAGATGATCATACAGAATTATATGGTTTTTATGGAGGTAAAGATTATACTCTTATTCATATTTTATTTTTCTTTGTTATAGATTCTCTGAGGTCAAAAGGTAGTTGGGAAACATTGAACATAGGATACATGTATTTTTCTATAAGTTGTTGAATTTAAAGGTTTCAATGGTTAATGATGAGCAAGGCATGTGCCAGATACATGTGCTTATTATGCAAGAATTACTTGAACCGAATTGAATAGTCATGCAAGCAATGAAACATTTCTGTGTAGTAATTTTTAGATATATTGTCATCATTTAAGAATCATAAATTGTGTCTTTTTCTCATAACACAAATAACATTGTTGTGATTACCTTGGATTAATAGCACTAGTTGACCTCCATATTTCAGCCTGTACAGAGATCTGACAGAGAAGCGGTTGCTAGGTTGCGGAACTGTATCCAGCTTCTGGCTGCCCACAAAATGCAATTGTATGACACCAGTGTACTGTATACTTATGAAGCATCCCTCAACTTTCAGGTAAATACATGTATAAGGAATTCACTAGTTCTGCAGAGACCAGAAGAGCTTATGCTTTGGTAAGGAGTCTGTCTATGTCCTTTGTAAACTATATATATTTCAAACAGCTCCTGTGTGTACAGTTTAGATCTGATTTCAGTAATACCTGAAACAAGTGGTCTATAACAAAATATATTATAGAATTATTGCTGATTTTGAGGTCAATACAATGATTTAGCCACCTGAGGAGTACAATATTCACCGAGCCCGAAGGCCTCAATTCAATGTTTAAATGATACAAACTCATTAAGCAGTTCATGCGATCTTACTTGTTTACATTTGCTGAAGTTGTAGCCAAATGCAAGGAGAGAAGCAGGGTTAAATAATCATTACCAGTCGTATTAATCTGAAATTTTTAAATCTACTTTAGTTGCTTTGAAAAAAAGGAAATTATGTCAGACTCTTTTATAGGATCGATTTTGAAAGGGGGGGCATTATGAGGGAAAACTGACAGCTGAAAAAAATCTGACTAGTTCTCATGAAAAGAGAATTCTCTTAAATTCAAATTTTGTTTGGGGGTTGGGTTGGGGTTATGGATGGGGGATTAAGGTCCATTAGTGGGGGACCAGCCTTTCAATGAATATTTTTAGTCTAAATTAAAAGTAAAAATTTTACATTCAGAAAAAAAGTGTTTTGGGGTGGGGACCTCCCCCTGCACCCCCCACAAAGCCAACCACCCCACCCTAAACTATATATTCCCTAATGTTATGTTCACCTGAGTGGAAATTGGTAGCAAGTGAAATAGCTTTCCAAAATTATTTGTATCAATTTGGTATTTCCCTGTTCTATTTTTAGACCAATGTAGAGAAATAAATCCTTATATTCACCTAGAAGGTCATGTGCAGGTGAATATAACATAGTATTTTTTCTACATTGTTGGATCTCAGCCAATCAGAGAGATAGGTATTATTCAATCATATAATAAAACTATTTATTGTATGATTCAAGGATTCCTAGCTGAAATCCAACATTCTAAAAATCAAAAAGTTTTGCATGTATTCACATGCAGTTGACATTCCAGGTGAATATAACATTTGATTTTTAGGTCAACTGAGTCTGCTATCTGTTTTTGTCTGTTGTTTGTCTTAATATTTAAACATTTTCAGCTTCCTCTCTGAAACCACTAAACATATTTCAACCAATTTTACCATATGGCATCTGTGAGTAAAGGGGGACAAAAATTATGAATTTCAAGGTCATTGCACTCCAGGGGCCTTAGGGGTAGGGCTAAACCATCAAAATTAATAGAATATTTTAAAATCTTTTTCTGTACTCCTGGACATCAAGCAGTCAAACTATGTCAGGATTGTAATAAGCATTAATCCCTCTAACAAAATGTAAAATTCATGGCCCTAGATCAGGGATTCTGGAGTTAAGTTGGGCTTCTATTGATCATATTGTAGTAGATTTCACTTTTGGCGATTCATAGAATTAAAGGTATTCAGTTTAACACAGTTTAACATATTATACTTTGGCTATCGATGGTCAATTGTCAGTCAAGCATAAAAAATATCTATTGGTCACTTTCATTTCTTTTATTCTCTTGGCTATTTAAATCATAACAGACCTTTAAATTATCAGTAGTGTATCTACTCAAAGACTAGGGTTGACACCTGTTCCACCTAAATCAGGTATTACATAATTTTCAGTATTATTGCATGTTTATAGTCATAATAAATTGTTGAAAACTTAACAATTTGTTTTATTTAAGGAAAGTTAACCTTGGTCCAGAACAGTTATATTTCAGAACGAACCTGGGTGAAAATGAAATTATTTTAGAGTGGGAATTGACTCCTACAATATAAGGAAAAATCATTTATTCTTTCAAAAACTTTTTCTCTCCCCCTGTATATTAAGCAGTCAAACTAGGAGCATTATTATGATTAGCAAAGTTGCCTCTTCCAAAAATGTGCAATTTATGGCCCCTGGGTCAGGGGTTCTGGTGTTAGGGTGGGGTTCTGTTGATTATATAGTGAAAATGTATTAATTCTTTGAAAATCTCTTTGTACATTAAATATTTTTCAAGGACCAAGAGAGGAAAATGTAAGGGAGAATGAGATGGGTTTACTACTTGTGCTCAAGCACTAATGTGTAGTCTGCTTGGTGACAGTGACAAATAAGAGTGTATTAGCACTAGTATGTACAGGCAAGTAAATGGCTAAATATGATACGTTACCGAGTACTAGACTAAATACTTTGTTGATACCAATTTCTCTTGCTTTGTGGCAATATACAAGTATCTTCATTTGTCGGTTTATTTTGTTTTATCTTCAATGGATCCTTTATAGTGATTTACTATACTCAGGTGACTGTTAAGGCCCTTGGGCCTTTTGTTCTACAATGGAACAAACATGGTACTTCCAAATTAATATAAAACCAATGAAATTCCACACCTCACATGGTGTTTACATAGAACTTCAACAGATGTAAACAACCAAGAAAGATCTTTAAATAATATTTGCTGGTTTTTAGGTCTTACACCTTTGATTTGGTTTGATACAACTGTGCACTATTTTGAGATCAAACCAGTAGAGTTACCATCTGATCTGGATGTCTTGGTTTTGTTACAGATAAAGGACATTTTGAAGCCAGAGATTGGACTAGAAATCCTTGATCATACTCGGCAAAGACTAGAACTGGAGGGTACCTGATGACTCATTATCCTTATAATGGCAGACGGTGGTAGTGGACCTAAGACAATCCCTGTTTTAAACAGGACTCTACTTCAGCAAGCTGTGTTCTAAAAAAAAACCCACATATAATGTGAATGAAAAACTTCAAGAGACATTAAAATTCATATCAGCAATATTGTACACAGTGATTTTTTACATTAGGAGTGAAAGAAATTGTAATTCTGCAGATGCAGTTTTGTTAATAAAATAGCTGATTCTTATTTCTTCTTAGTTCAGCATTTTGATACAGGGTTTGTTGACATCATTTATGTACACCTTTGACATCTATGTACAATTTGAAGAACAGGAACAAAATGAATTTGCAATGAAATACCCATTTGTGTAGAAAAGTTTTACGGACAGCTTTGTCAAATTTGTCAAAGTGGCATTTTGTATAAAGCTGTTCCCAGAGTGATAAACTATTTAACAACTTTTCGGAAAAATCTAAATTTCTCCTTGCAAAACTTTCTGATTTTTAGCTCACCTCGATTAAATTCCTAGTAAATATGTTTACCTGACCAAACTTCCATCAAGTTCCATGAAATCCGATGATTCATCTAGGGATGCACACTACCAGACTTGCTTTGGATGTTGGATAAATTGACCTAAATTTTCCAGATGAGTAAACAGGTCTGTCATACCTAGACCAATCTTGCATAGATAATGCATCTAGGGATGCACACAAGACTTGCTTTAGATATTTTTTGAATGATTGAATAGGTCAAAAGTTTTACAGCAGGTTCATTCTTAAGTACCTGTAAGCCCACTATAAATGAAACTTGCATGGATGATACATTTAGGGATGCACCCTACCACAATTGCTTTGGATGCTGGATCTAACCTACATTTTGTGGATGAATGAGCAAGCTAAAAATTGGAGCAGTTTCAATTGCAAGTAACTGTAAGCCCTACCTGGACCAACCTTGCATAGATGATGCTTCTAGGGATGCACACTACCAGACTTGCTTCAGATGCTGGATTTGACCTACATTTATTGAAGCAGGTTCAATTCCAATCAACTAGAAGTAACCTACCTTGACCAACCTTGCATGGATGTTGCATCTAGAAATCCATTACACACTACAGACTTGCTTCAGATCATGAGTTGCTCCTACATTTTCCAGGGGATTGATTGTATTGTAAAGTTTGATCATTTCAAGTTTCCATATTTTATTTGTATTTAAAATACAAATCTTGTCATATTAATCTACCTCTATAAATGATTCATAATTTGAGTATTTTGATCATATGTATTGTATGTTTATTACTTAATGTTCTAAATTTGGATTCACAACTTTTCATGTCATCGTATGTAAAGTGAAAGTAGAACGAACACATGTAATATATGCATATCCTTTCATATTTAACGATGTCCTTGTTGAAATAATTGCATAAATGCTGTAACTAGAGCATGATCTACTAAATGTTTTAAGAAAATTACGTTTTTTACTGGTATTTTACCTGTATTGTGCAAACACGTGTTGTAAGCTGCAGACAGTCTTAGTTTTCTATTTACATGTCGGCGCAATGCATTATGGGTGAATTTTCGTTTACTTCTTTGATCCGCGCACCCCAGATATTTATGCGCTGACAGATTTTTCTATTAATTAGAAAAATGAGCTTTAAGGTAATTAATTATGTTGCATAATATATTAATGAATTAGAGTTATATTTTATTCGTATTTTAAACTTGTTAAAGTAATTTTTTTATAGATGGGAACTATTTTCCGTTGCATTTTTCTTTCGGATTCCGTTGCTTTCCAACGGATTCCGTGTTGTTTTGGAACGCATACCGTTCCCCGAGGGTATATAAGTGAGCACCCGTTGTACAACGGGGACTCCAGATTTTTGGGCTTTTAGGATAAGATGTAGGTGAAATTTTAAGAACTTTTGGGGAATTTTTCTTTATTTCTATTAGTAACTCAGTAATTTGAAGAAATTTAGCTAGGCCTATTTATTTATTAGAGCCGTTTCACAATATTAATTAATATGTCTTAGGGAAATTTAATATTTTTGGGAATTTGGGGTTAAGACGACTGCAGCCATTATTATTTTTTTTTTTATTGTATTTTTCTTGATTGAATTTTTATCATTGATTAAATTTTATTTAATTTGTTAATTGAGATTAAGCCAGAATAAACCATCATCTCAAGCTATTTAAATCTTATTTTAATTATTTACTGGAGTCCATCATTTAATTTAAAAATAAATTGGTTTAAAGTTAGTAAATTTCTGGGTGTTCAAAGTACCGTTAATCAGTTAATACACCCCAGTGATTGAGTGCCATCCCGTTACATATTTTCTTTGGTGTCAGAAGTGGGATCCACAATTTTCAGGCGTGGATCCAGCGATACGAAATTGCTCTGAATGTTATTTCTGATTGAATACATATTTCAATTATGTTTACAAGACGCCAGGCAGCTTTGAAAGGACAAATGAACAACAGTGAAACAAATCAAAATGCATGTCCTAGAGAAATAGGAAATTTCAATGAAGAAAGTGAAGAGGAAATTTTAACAGAGTATGAGGAGGACTTCACATGCAACTCTGAATCAGAGAATAACTCAAATATCACAGAGGGCATACAAGTACTGTACCCTGAAATTATTGTACAGTCCCCACAAAAAGTAAACATATCTTCAAATGCAAGTCCTCTCATCTCTAAAAACAAAAGAAACAAGACATACACTAAGAGAGTCTCAAGACCCACAAAGCTCACACATGACACAAGTACCAAAAATGAGGGAATAAATCTTGACAAGGAAAATGAGGGCTCAATGAATCAAAGGAACACATACATGTTAGACAGATTAGCTCAAATGATAAATGGAGCACTCAGCAAAATGACTGAGACAATAGGGAACATCTTCAAAACCACTATAAGTGAGTTTACCAATATTAAAGAGACTAGCCGTGTCCATAAAGAACACAAAACTCAGTCAAAGAGTAGGCTCAACAAGAGTAACAACAGAGACATAAACAATGTCGAGTCAAGCAGTGAATCTGATTCAGATGAAAATTCATCAGACCATGCAAGTTCTGTCTCTACAAGAAAAATTTTCAAAGAAAAGCATAATGTTTCAGTGAAACTACCTGCTTTCAAAGGAGACCCAGATGAAAGTTGGAAAGCATACATCAATAGATTTGAGGCTGTTGCCAATCACAATAGATGGACAGACAAACAAAAGTTAGGACAGCTCTTGCCAAGACTACAAGGCACTGCAGGCGAGTTTGCTTTTGAGGAACTCAGCCCTGAAATTTTGACAAATTATAGGAAATTAAGAAGGGAACTTGGGAATCGCTTTGGAATTTATGAATCACCAAAGACTTTTCAGACTAAATTCAGGAGAAGAGACCAAAGGAATGGAGAATCTGCTCAATCTTATGGAGCAGCATTAAAAAGCCTCTATAGTAAGGCTTACCCAAACAGAGATCATGTCACAAGACAAGAGGATCTAGTTTCCCGGTTCTTACTAGGACTCATAAATGAGAAAGCTAGGATTCATGTTGAGCTCAACAAAGATCCTTTCACCATTGAGGAAGCTATTAAGTTTGTAATTGAGTATGAGGAGACAACTAGGTACCCAAGAGCAGATAATGATGAAAATGACCGCTATAATAGGCGGAGACAAATACGACAAGTAAGCCAACAAAGTAATTCTGCTAGCTCCCTAAAGCCTAAAGACAAAAATCCTAGAAGTTTCACAAAACCTCAAAATCGTCAAAAAGACATAATATATCAGCAAAAACCTACTTCTCCCGAACAGGACATTAAAATTAAACAGAATCAGAAGAGTTCTGACTTTATAACAAGAGCAGAGCTTAAGGATATTTTGAATGAAGTTCTCTGTTCAAAACCTTCTTCGATCATAGAACAGCGACATAAGCTGAGATACCCCTTGATATGTTACCGCTGTGGAGAACAAGGGCATTTTGCGAGAAATTGTTCAAGCGAAAAAGTTCAAAATGGAAATGCAGAGAGTAGTCTTAACCCTAGAGCCACTGAATTTAGACCTCCGTCAAACTAGAAAGGGTCAGCTCTGAGGGCCAAGGGATGACCCCAGGGGATTTTAAAAATGGCCAACTATTTCAAAATTATTGTAAAAATGAGAAACAAGATTCCTGTTTTGATTTTTCTGAAAACACTGAGACTGTAGATGATAGTTTACAACAAATTAAGGGAGATCACTGCGACTTAACTGATGATGTATTTTATGATGCTGAGAGTACAGGTAGTGGACCTTGTGAGACTCATGATCAGCAAGAACTTTGTGAAGTTGAGGAAAATAGGGTTGTTGGAAGTTTGGACACACTTGGAGACAGTTTGGTGGACTGTAGTGCGGTGCCCATTGTGAACCCTGATAGTGACAATCAGACATTTGGTCTGTCTGAGCCTCAACATACATCAAGTGAGATGCTTGATACAAATGCAGGTGAATCCCTTAATACGAGTTGTTGCACGGCTATTGAATCTGACCATTCTTCCCATTTTACCAGTGTTTTAAGACAAATCAACAGCTGTCCAGGAATATATATAAGTGGATCTGTACAGGGAGTAGGTTTGGAATGGACCACAGATACTGGTGCAACCAGATCCATTATATCAAAGAAAACTTTTGACAGAATTCCCCAAGACCAGAGACCAAAGTTAAAGAAATCTAATCTATTAACAAGTGTTAGTGGAGAACCTTTGAAAGAATTTGGAAAGGCCATTTTTAAAATTCAACTCGACCATGAAACTTTCCAAGAGGAGATAATTGTGGCTGAAATAGAAGACCAAGCACTTTTAGGACTTGATATATTATTAAAACCAGAAAATGGACCTGTCAATATTAACTTGCATGAAAATATAATCAATTTTAGGGGAACAGAAATTGAATTTAGACAAACACTAGACAGAACTAGGAGGGTTATAGCAGCAGATGATTATGTCATTCCAGCTAACTGTGAGAAGCTGATAGATGTTTTTGTAGACAGATTTGAGTCTGACAAGAATTTGCTATGTAATACTTTTTGTATTGAACCTACAAATGATTTCAATAACAGGTTTCCACTTTTGATGGCTTCTTGTTTGATAGACATGGAAAATAAAGTCTCAGCAAAGATTAGAGTTTTAAATCCTTTCAATACAGAAGCCAAGATACAACAGGATGATATTTTAGGAGAAGCAGAGCTTATTGATACCCTAAATGTGGCTGAAGTCTTGTC